AAATCTTTTGGTTTCCTTTGCTTCCATACATGGGCTTTGCTTTTGCTTTATTAAACTGCCTTTATCTTGACCCATGATTTTTTTTTTTTGGTCTTACTTTCTCTCCCCTGCCCTGCTGAGGAGGAGCATGATAGAACAACTTGGTCAGCCAAGGTCAACCCACCACACTGGGACAAAATGGTGAGATTATTTTTGGCTAGCACTACTCTTCAGAATTATACAATAGCATGAAAACTCACAGATGTCTGGGAAATACCAGTTCCAGTATACCAATACTTGGAACACTATCCGAGTTTTGATACCTAAACCATAATGTAGTGTGGTGACATGTATACAATTTGAGATTCCAGTTTGATAAATACACACAAGGTGAATCCATCCAAGAAATAATGTGACCGTATTGTATACTTGTGGTCTCTGGATCTTTGTATGCCATGGTGATGCAACTAAGTTTCAAGAAACACATACAAGTGATGTTAAGACCACTGTGTTCCTATGGCCTAGCTGGACAGGTACACTGGTGCTATCTACACACTCGTGTTTTATTGTACAGAAAAGATGTCAACTCAGACAAATTTTTCATGAAGCTGTGGACCTCGGGTCCATTTTATTTTCAGTTTTAAATGAGCTTGAAGCTTGCTTTATGAGATTTACTAGATTGACATTATTTCTGTGGAATATGGTAATATCTCTCTAACTGAGAATTAAAATGATTAAAGAGTAAACCCTGATCCTAGTAGTGACCAAAAAAGGAAACCTGGAATCTGAAGTAAGAGATGAACCAAAAAAACCCACCTTGAAGGCTCATAGTTCATCTTGGGCTCTAATGAGGAAATAATGACAAATGATTTTACCATTATGAATGCAAATGGATAGGTCTCTTAACACAAAGGGAATTAAAGTAAGTTGATACTCCCCTTTTGTCTTTGAAGTAGAAATGAAATGCCTAATCCCTGACTACTACAGTTACATTTTCCTCTCTCCTGTCATCTAAGTGAACATTCAGATCTTGCTCAGCAGTAACACCCTCACTAATGTCTTAGTACTCAAGGATGACTCTTCTAGTGCCACATATGTGAATATAAACATGCAAACATCCCTACATATATAGAGAGACACACACGGAGCCTACCTACCACCTGCAAAGTGTATATGAACCATGCATGCATTCCACTCAAAGGAGCCAATCTTGTGCTTTCAATGTTCAAAGACGGTGCCCTTTTTTGGGGGAAGGCACAATGGGAAAGGTAATGCAAGAGTAAAAACTCAGAGAAATTATCTGTGATATTTGCTGCTCATACTTATTTGCTCTCATTAGACATGGGGATTCCAAGTGAGATTTCCAGAAAGAAAGTCTGTCACTAGAAGTTATATAGGGTTCATTTGGTGTAGTAAGCTATGCGTCCTCCTTTGTACTTCACACAACTGAGTTGTGCAGTTCAAAAAACAACATCTGCTTCTTCCTTCAGACTGGTACACAGAAGCTCACCAAAACCAAAGGAGCTCCAAATTCTCAATGAGCAAAGTTTCATTAGCCTTTGAAGTGAAGGGGTATTGATCTTTAAATGGAATATATTTATGGCTTGAATTCCAGATAGTTATCTTTATCAGCCACAGTCTTTAGGGCATGGATGTGCCCAAACATATAGAAACATGTGCAGGCACACTGCATACCAGTCAGCATGATACACAGAGATCTTCATTATCAGCTGCCTCTCACCACATAGATTTTACTTCTTCCCACTGCACTGTGAAAGATTTTCTACAAACAGACACTCTGGTTTATTAAAGTTAGCCTTACCTTCACAGAAGGAAAAGGTGTTAACAAACATGGCAGAGAATGGCAGAACAGACCTTGTCAAATCCTGAAACTCTGGTTTACTGTCTTTTTTTTCTTTTAAACTAGACTATTTTGAGTGATCCTTGTTGCTTTCATTTTTCCTAAACAGTAGCTATGGCATGCCGACCAGTGCAAAGGCGGCCCTAGAATGTATCATGGCGTCTCTAAAATGCAAAAAAAATGACAGTGCAGTTCTATTACCACAATACTTCTTGTTAAATGTTATTCCCAGCATACCAGGAAAAGGAAAAATAAATAAAAAAAAAAAAACAAAAAAGAGTACAGAACATTAACACAACACTATTTGGCTTTCTGGCCACAGTTTCCAGAATGAACTGAAGAATCTCAACTTCATGCATTTTTTTTCAGGTTTTGAAATGCCTTAAGCCATCCTCTGGACCACCTTGTGATCTAGTAAGCCTTCTCAGACAAGTAAATCACTCTAATTATTCCTCCATCTCTGTCTTCTGGTACTTCTCTTCCTTGTGAAAAAAAGATTTAAGAGAAGGCGGCAACAATCAGAACAGTATAAGATATTGTGTATGAATGCATATCCTGATCTGGCCAAGACTGCTGAACATATAATAGTGAAATTGTAAGCAGACAGAGTAAAAAATACTGAGGAATGTTACCTTTCAGACCTCCACCATTTCCCACTGAAATGGTAGTGTCAGGACTCTCCCAGATTCTTGATGTGAAACTCCTGAAGAGAGATGGAGATGGAGTGCTGTGTGCCAGTAAGATGCATAACAGTATGAATATTAATTTAAATTTGCCATTAAGGTCTTGTACATAGATAGGAAAAGATGATACTAATACCTCAGCTGTTACATTTGACATCATGTTTTCAGTAAGTGAATGCCTTACCAGCACTGTCAATGCTGTACGAACTTGCAATGCAAAGCTGGTTTCTGGATCGATTCTACCAGACATACTGAGAAGCCAAAAGCAATGATGTTGATCCAAAATCTGAGAATGTGCATACCAAAACTAAATGTGCTGACTCACTACTGCAGGCTCTTTTGTTCTAATTTCTGTCAACAGAAATATCCACCTTAGATTAGTAGGTGTAGCTTTCCTTAACGTATGAGGGAAACCTAGGCTTCATTTCTGGAACATGAGGAAGATAATTTCTTACACAGGAGACAGCCCCCATAAGGACCTCAGACAGGCCTGAACTGCACAGAAACATTAGCATTCACTGCTTACTATAAAAAAAGTACATGCAGTTACGGGAAGGACTACTGAAACACAGTAGCTATTTCACATCTGATTAACATTTTTCAGCCTGAACAACTAAAATTTAAATCTGTAAAAATACTTCATGAAAAAATTAAAACTTAAAAATAAGTTAGAGAAAATACTATGAAGAAAAAAACCCACTGGGGTTTTTTCCCAACTTCATTTCTAATCACTTCCTCTCTAAAGGTACTATTTTTTAACAAATAGAGACAGAAAATTGTTATAGCAAACTGAAAGAATGGTCAACATGGCATATATTACAGCAAAAAATAAAAGTTTAGACTTTGCCTCCTGTTGGCTGGATACTGTCTTTTTGGGTAATATGATTCTGTATTTGAGTATATGGCCAGCTACTTATGACTTCACATTTAAGGCTGCACACAAATACAGCTCTAAAACTGTAAGCATACAGTGAGCATAAATTCCTGTTTAACATAAAGAGTCCTCTGAATATTCACTGCCATCTTTTATAGTTTGTCTTTCAATGACTTTTTAATAGGAAACTTGCAAAGCAATGAAAACACAGTTTCCCATCAACAATCGTACTTCTTGTGGTTAACAACTTCTTGCAAAATGCTAACTGTGTATTGGAAAATAGCAGAACATTCCTACAACTTGTGTATTGGCAATTTATTGTACCAAAGAAAAAGGCTCTGCATGAGGCTTTATATTCAGTTGCCAAGAAATAATTCTCAATCAAATGTCGATTCCATTAAACAGTACTCTTCCTTCCCTGATTTCATATGCATACAACTTCTATGAGAAGCAAGAAAGTAAAAATTTGAGTCTCTCAAAATATATCTTCATTATTCTTCAAACTGCAGGCATCTAGTGTATCAGACTGACTACTGAGAGGTAACAGAAGAGGTACTGTTATGGACATTACCCAAAGTAATACCAGACACCATCCACTTTGTGCATTCAATTAATTCTTTCCCAATCACTTTATCAGCCACACTCATGACTACTAGGAAGAATACTTTAACATAAGACTGCACTAACTACACCATCAGAAAAAGAGTCTGCAAGGAAGAATAGAACTTAAGTTAAATATTTTTGCACTTACATTGCTACAAAATTGCTGTTTACTCAATGCTATACCATCCCAAGTCAAACACGCTTTGTATTTTAACCAGTAAAATGCATGGTAACAAAATCCTTCCAAAATAATGCACATTTGAAAAATAGCAGCAGCCCCTTCCCCTTTTCTGTTCTAAAAAGCAGTGAGTGATTTTCATCTTTAAAAAAACACCGTCCACAAAATTTATTCAATATGGCACTGGAATGCCTCTCTACCTTCATGTTTATCCAGCTGGTTATCAACTGATCCTTAGCCTGTATCACTTGGAAAAATGCTGTGACAAATAGGATTATTAACACTTTTCTAGGACTAAAGCACAGTAAAATTCAGCAAAACATAACCATCTCTTTTAGAAATGCCATTTCCAATTATTAGAAACCGAAAAATGATTGTGGATGATCTGTTCATTCAAACTAGGAAAAGAATTTAAATACACCCTATTTTTTATTTCCACCTTCTGGCAGTTTTTTGTGATTTGCCTTCCCTGGCACAGCCTGACTTCAAAGAAAAATATCAGCAAAGTAATACAGTGGAATAAACTGAAATGCCAAATCAAAAAGGATCAACAAAAAATTCACAGCAATAAATAAGAAAGCAACTAGGACAAAATATAAAACATAGGTGCTGAGAGGGAGAAGAAAACACAAGATGACAGAGAAAGACAATTCAGAAGTAGATTTTATGTCTCTAATGAATGTACATGATACAAATGAATGCTAATACTACATTAGATCATTTATACATAAAAATTGTGGTGTTTAACATTGTATTTATGCTTACCTCACCTGATTTCATCATGATTTTTAAATTTATTTTTTTTTAATTACCCGAATTTACCAGATTCCATGGTCATCTGAAGTAATCCATCAAGAGCACTGGAAAGCAGACCTCTACTGGATACTTTTAAGTGACTTAATACAACAGGCACACACTGGTATTCCAAAAATAAGGCCTTCCCTTCATCTGTCTTCAAGTCTATGCGAAGGGAATCAAATGCCTGAGCCAGGTAATCCACTGAAAGATACCAGAACACAGGCAACAAAACTTCTCTAACCATCATTTCATTAAGCAATGTGAACAAAGGTTTGACAGTTTCCGTTGCAGATATATACAATATATACTTTAAAGTAAATGGTGAAAATACTAAATTTACTTTTTATTTAAAGACATACTCTGGTTTTATTCCTTAACAATTTATTTTGACTAGAGAAAGACGCTATCTACAATTCCTATGTGTAAGAAAAATATACTTACAAATGTAAAGTCCTGCAAATATTTTGCTTAAGAGGAAAGAAAACATAAGCTTGCACAGTTTGAGACAATGTTGGTTCCAACATCTGGGAAACCTCTATTAAAGGAGTCAATGGCTGATTTGTCTGAGAAGGAGCAATTACTTTCACCAGAGCAACTACTCCCATTCCTTCTATAAAGAGTGGTAGTTTCAGTACATGCATTTTATATTCTCATTCATCATGGAGCGCATTGAATTATACTAAGAATGCAGATTAAGTGAACCAATCTGATTTCTTAACTTCCCGATGTCAAATCTTCCTCAGTGTCTTGGAATCCTATTGATCATCTGGAGCTCAGAAAATTAAATAGAAGGAAACAATTTATCCTGCTGCAAAAGTTTAGCTACGGTGCCATCTGCTGGATACCGACAGTTAAGGGAAAGAGGATGGATGTTCGAATGTGCTACTTTATCACTAGATCATCAGTGCCATGTGGTCAGAGTGATCAAAATTCATACACAGTGATATCTGGCATATGTTTAATATCAGATTGTATTTTCCACTTTATAGAAACCAGCAGTAAAAGGGAACTATGAGAGGCTAAACTGGTTCATTCTAATCAAGATTGTTCATCTCCTTAGGGTAAATCAGCCTCGGCAATGACCAGTTTTGGTATTGCAATTCTTCTTGCATTGTTTTTATGAAACATTTCTAGAAATGTGAGTCGCAATTTAGGAATAATTATCATGCTTCGCCAAAATGTCTTGACTGAAATAGTTCCCTCCAACAGCTGAAATACTATGTTAGTTCATTAATGATGTCAGGGTGGTCTTCCACCACATTTTAATCCTGTATTTACTGTAAATACTCTCAACATAAATCCTGCACAGGTTGTTAAGCATAAAGACAAACTAATCTTCTTAACCATCTCATCCAGAAGCAGAACTTGTATGAACAAGAACACTATTCACTATGTATGCATTTAAAATCTTTGGCCTCACAATTTAGTGTCAATCAGGGTGCCAGAGATTGCAGCAATTTTATGATGTGGACCTCTGCTGTCTAAGGAACTGGCCTAACATTCACAATATATTTCACGCAAGAGGCTGAAAAATAACAGATAACAAAGCAAGCACCTGACTGGGACATTCTGGCATGGTTATTTGCAGAAGTACCTTGATAATTAATATCTCTGTAACCTGTCTCAGTCTCTTTGTGTTATTAGCAGAATAAATGTGTTACTAGTAAAAACATTTTAAAATAGAAACCATTCAGAGAATAAAAGGTCACAAAAGTCAGAGGTAGCACAGAATCATGGAACAATTTAGTTGGAATCTAACCTTCCTGCCTAAAGCAGGACCATCTCTGAGGTTAGGTTAGATTTTTAATTTGTAGCCCCACTGAACAATTACTTGCTATCAAAATGATCTGTGCTTTTCAAATTTCTTTGAAAAGGGAAAAATTAATGGTTAATATCACAAAGAGTTGGAAAAGAGTTATAAATACATTCATTCTTATGCAATCCTTGTAAAACATATTTTTGCAGAAAATCCCAGTTATGCAGCACCACAGTACTGCTAAGTTGTTTCAAGTAAGCAGCAATCACATCTTACACCTGCACTTAATAGTATATAATTACTTTTCTGCCTGACTTCCATAAAAAGGATATGCAATATCTATTGTTAGCTACTTCCCTTGAAGAGAGAAAAGACTTCATAACTGAAAGGCAGCAGTTAAATCAGCTGGGAGAACAGTTACTCTAGTCTTTGAGTTACATTTTCCACATTTTTTCCCATACTGTCCAGACACAACCTGATTTGTGTAATCCTGTAGTGTCTACTTTGAACTCCTTATCTTCTCTCACTGCCATAAGACATGGAAGGAAGACCCAGCTTCCTCCATTTCTTTGCCAAAACCAAATTACATATAATTTAAGCAGAAAATTCTAATTTACTGTTATACATATCTGCCAGTGTGAGAGGTGGAAGGGTTCTGGGAACAAAGGAAACACAAAAAAATCACACTGAAAGACAGGAGTCACTCACCCTGTGATGCCCCCCTACATAACCCTCCTGATCCTTTCTGGTTAACAAAAGGCAGAAGAGAGAGCTGAAAATGATGTAGCTGTTTCAGATGGAATAATCCCCTAACAGGCATTGGAAGTTGTATGGACTCCATTGTTTAAGAGAATATATGATCTTTTTTTTCCCAAAGAAATAAACACACACAAAAAAATCAAGTGTTAATATATTCAGAAACTCAACCTGGTAATAAGTAGCAATTACATTGCATTTAGGATTCAGAGGGGACCTATCAACTCTGCTGCTTTTATGCTGATGGACTCCTTTAGCATAGGTTCATAGCAATCACTGAAGCCATTACTGAATTAAAACACTAAGTCAAAGAGAAGCCTAATAATAGAGGTCAAAATAAGGCATTCTTTTGGATTACTGATCACATCTGCACATACATGAATTAAGAACTTTCAAGCATAATTCAGATTATGTTGAATTATTCAAAGAAGTCATATATATATAAATTAAAAATGGAGAAGAATTTGTTTAAATAACCAATCTGTAAGTTAATTTAAAAATATCTCTATAAATCAGACTTATTGAAAGTTTTTCTTCTCACAAAAGTGAACACAATCTCTATATCAAAAGGATCAAGGAAGGAAAGCAGTTTGACAGAATTATCAACATCTCTTTTCCCCTTCTTCAAAAATGTTGACTTATCTAACAAGTCACTGTATTAAAAGGAACATATAAACTCCAACACGAAATGAATAATAGCAAGATTTATACATATTTGGATTCACAAGGCAGTTAAACTCAAGAAAAACCACTTTTCACTAATAAAGCATAACAGACTCTATAGTATCATTGAAATGCTTTTTACCCAGGCACATGACTGAAATAAATAAATTAATAAAAAAAAAATCTTAACTTACCTTGTGTCACTGTTTTGAGCACAATTAAAGTTGACAGAAATCTCAGAGGCATACAGGAACTCTTAAAGAAAGCTGCTGATTTTGATTTACTCTCTACAGACTGTTCAGAAGAACCATGTGGGCTTCCCTTGCTCACGATGCCTTTGAAAATATCTTCGCCCAGTCTCCTCATTGTTGATCTCATTGTTGCATGCTGCTTCAAACAGTGCACACAGTTAGTGTGAACAGCTAAACAACACTATCATGGTGCTGTATCAACACATACTTCATCAAGAGACTAATTAGTGAGGGCCCTGGATATGCTGACATTATTTAAGTTGCCTCTGATTCCAGAAAAAGTTCACTTTCAGCCAACTCTGTTTTGTAAGGCTGCCTGAAGTTATATCCTGTAAAACTATTTACAGAACAAAGTCTAGACATGAACCTTAAGAACACTGTACAGGTAATATCTATTAGAGTTTTTGTCATAAACTATAAAGAAATATTACCTCAAATCAAGCGTCACAATATGCTCATTTAAAATATAGTTACTTATTAGCACTAAACACAGCAGCTTAATGTTCTATTGAATTTAAATTCAGGATATTTACAAGCAGAGAACAGAAAATAAACATTTCCTCACTGCTTTGCCACACACTTCCATAGGTTTCAACAAATCTCATGCATAAAGTGCACCTGAAGGAACTGCCTTTTCTAGTGCAAGTTTTGTAACTACATATGCAAAAATGTAATTTCTGATGTGCTCAGACATCACAACAGAGATCACATACTTACAAACACTGTCTTTAGATACACAATGCCAAATTTAAATGTAACTTGATTTTTTTTTTCATTTGGTATTTCTCTGTGGTAATCACTATGAATTTATACTTTACAGCAGTTTCTTTTCTATATAATAGCTGAAAACATCCACTTTTCATATGTATTTAAAATGCAAAATCCATTAATATCTTCAGTGAATTTAGCTATTAAAAAAACATACTGCAAAAGGAGTACTTGTTTTACCTGTGTATCAGTGTCCAGCTGTCTTATAGACCAGTAAATAAATTTAATTACAGGCATGTGCAGTTTAGAATTCACATATGGCATCCACTGGAGTTGCTCAGTAGCTATAGGCAAAAGCTGTAAAAATACACAAAAGCAGAATTACGGCAGTATATAAAACTACTCTATAAGCTAACTGTAAGTGAAAAACAAGTGAACAGACTTCCTAATTTTTTTTTTTTTTTTAGTTTTCTCTTGTAGTCTAACAGATCACATATGCAAATACTCTCTGGGCAGATCAAGTAGAGGTAACAGAATGATATGCATACACAGATTTTAAATGTAAAAGTGAAGATACATGTGAGCTCAATCTCTGTAAATTCAACTCCAGTGGCTATAAATCTTTTATAAGATGAAGAAATACAACAGAAATGGATTTTCTGAACATTGCACTGATTTCCAAATCTTGGTATCACCAGAAAGAAAACAAAAGAAGTGCTGAAAGTACAGCACAGCATCACCTTTTATCAGTCATAAATTGAAACATTAATATCAAAATAGGCATAAAAATATTTTAAATTTGACCTGTTTATCTCCTTTATACAAAGGAATTATGTACAGTATCACACATAAAACACAAGATAAAGTATCAACTGAAAGAAGTGACTAGAAATAAAATGCTGAAACTTTCATCTTGAGACTGGACACCACACTTTTTACTGAAAATGTCTGTACGCTTTACAAATGACAATGTATCTATTGTCATTGGAATTACAGTGATTTTGTTCTAATTACATGCTGACCTGTTATATTCTCAGAATAATTTAAACCCCCCACCCCCGAAATCCAAAACATGTTAACACAAGCAAACAATCCAACCCCCTTTACCTTCATACACTTTTGCCGAGTAGAGGGTTTATTTGAGCTCTGGGTAACCACAAGTTCATGACTGTCCTCTCTTTCTTCTTGTGTTTTAATTTTGCTAAGATGCTCGTCTGAGATCCAATCCATAAGAAAAGTTAAGAGCTCATAAACTTGTGAATGCAATGGTAGCTGTAATAGATCCATAACATCAGACATTTCAGCTTTCAAATTAATGATCTTTCGAAGCCAAAATAGTAACAGACTGGAACACATGAGAGTACATTTCTTATGAAATATTACACATAATATAAAGGATGACAATTTTATGCCTGATAAAATCTGGGAGGTAAGTTACTGTATAGGCAGCCCATGGAAAACATATTCAAGTAGACAGTGATCTTGAACAGGCCATGTGTACTCTGTTGGGCCTTGTACCTAGGGTTTGAGAAGCCTGTATGTTATTAACATGTAACTTAAAATATCACTGGGAAAGGTGTAGGTGGATCAAGGGTTGGAAGGTGGCAATCCTGACTGGGAGACTACTGGGCATAAAGCAGTCAGAGATAACATCACAGTTAACCTGAGTAGGTGGAGCCTGAGCTGTGCTGCACAGATCAATCAACTGCACAGTTTATCCCGTGCTTGGCTGCAGAATAAACTCAGACAGCTCCCACTGGAACTGCTGATTATGCCTCCTGCCTGGCCTTGTCCTTGTCTAGAAAGGCAACAAGTTCTTCTCCTGTGAACGTCCTTCATGAATAGAGTTGTTTTCTTGCAAGAAAATCACGTAATATCTTGAATGGCCAAAGAGGAGGGGCTTCTCTCAGTGGACAGGACCTGCTTGGCATGCCCTGGGAAAAATCCACCCAAGCTTCACCTGATGCTGCATAAACACAAAGTTCCCAGCATCTGAAGGGACATAAGAATTACTTGCTGTCTATATCCCTCCTCTTACTCTGTCTTAATTTATTAAAATAGTCTTTTAAGCTATTTGTTGTCAGGCCTTTCTTCTAGAAACCCAAAAGGAACCCTGCAGTGTTTTTCTCTCTCTCTCACACCTCATTCCCCAGTGCGGGCACCATTTGTGATGGTTTCTGGTTGTGAAAAAAATATGCCCATCATCTATTTTATATTTGGACAAATGGTAGTAAAACACCTTGGAAAAAAAATTTCACATACAAAATCACTCCATTTTATAATTCTGGACAAATGAACTACAGGAGAAATTAAGTCTTTAATGTCCTTTGCATGGGGAAATTCTTATCTCAATGCACTAGACCTACTTTTCTTTATTTCACACAATTTACTGTTGTTAAAATTTAACTGGGCAACTAGCATCGTTAAAAAAAACAACAAAGACTTTTTGAAATTGTCATTCTGGTTGTACTACACTGCAGTGAAATACTCTATGAAAGATATCCAGAGATACCTGAAGACAGGCTGCACGAACAGTTCTCTAAGGACTTCAAAAGTTTTCTTCTATCTACCTTCAGATAACTGCTTTCCTCTTCTATCAGAACTGTAATTACTGATACTATTTGTATTACACTTGCAACCAAAGTATGCTAAAACCTATGTAAAGAGAATTTGTTGGCTATATATAGACAGCACATTTTTAAAAACACCCAATGTACATCAGTTAAGTAGGATGGTGTGAATATCTCTTTTTCATTTCACAGATCATCTCTGTCTGAAAAAAGTTTTACCAGTCAGGAGATGTTGGCAGAGTAATATCAGATCATGGTCTACTAAATGGAATTACACGGAGAAGGAAAACATTTCATTAAGTGATGTAAGAAGATTTTTTAAGGAAACAAAGACGATTGTTTTGGAAATGTGTATGAACGCTGCACTTATTCTCTTTCCCTCATCATAGATTATTTCTCAAAAAAATAACAGCAGTAAATCACTTTTTGTTTAGAAGATTAAGATTCTTTATCAGATACTTCTGACTGACTGCTTTTTGCCTGGTGTTATTCATAAGGACAGTGCTGTGCTGTACTGTAGCAGTAAGCAGAATAAGTTTAAGATTTTCTCTGACACAGCAAAAGAAATCCCTAAGAGTGGAAGCAGGTTATAATTCTAATTGGCAGATGAAAGATGACATGACAGGAAGTGGAAAGCATGCCATACAAATAAAAATATATACATATACTATTCACATATGGAATATGAAATCCCAGACATATTTTTAGCCTCAAACTTAATTCTTTATCTGTGTTTTCCCCCAATACAATGTTTCTTTTCTTATTATAATTAATTTACTCATAAAACAAAATTGGAAGCTACATTTTCTAATTTCCAGTAGATACACAGAGAATGCTACACTGCCTAATACCTTTCGAATGAAAAGAGTCAAGACTTTTGCTCAATTCTTACCTTAGCTATTTTTGATGTTCCCATCACTTTTTCCTGTTTCACAGGTTTGCTTTGTTGCATCACTTGACGTATATTGTCAGACTTCCGTACGACTGAAAATTCATGCTTCCTCTACAACAAAATATAAAAATGAATTACATTTTACTGGTTACCTATAAAGGAGGCAGGCATATGTAAGGACATACCTTACCTGCAGGTTTTCTAAACGTGCTTGTACTTTTCGTGCTTGACCTTCCAACTTCTTGTTTAGTTCAGTTACATCACTTAACTGAAAGAATCAGAAAATATTGAAGTATCTGTAAAGTCAGAACTGAATTCTTGGCTTAATTATCACACTGAAATAATTTAATACTGCTGTTGAGTAGTTAAATTATTTAAGCTCAATTTTCTTCTTCTCAGCATGTAAAGTGATAGAAACAAAATCATCATATACCTCCCTCAACAAACTGCAGAATCAATAGATTGGCTGAGGCTCAAGAGCACTTCTGGAGGACATCTGGTCCCACCCCCCAGAACGAGCTGGGCCACTAAGAACTGGCTGCCCAGGACTATATCCAGATAGCTTTTGAACTGCTCCAAGGTTTGAGATTCTAACACCTCTCTTGGCAACCTGATAAGACACAGGAGTAGCTCTTTGTTGACCTGTAGCCCAACCTTTCAGTGTGAAGGGGAAGAATAAGCACTACAATATCCTTCTAGGTTTACAGGTACTTCACATCTTTTCATGAAGAAGTGACATAAAAAAGGAGCACACATTTCAAGAATGGTACAATAGTCTTGTTAATGGGGAAGGTGAAAGTTTTTTTCTACAGAACGAGATAGTTACTAACATGCTAAAAGAACAGTTTGCTTGGTGAGAAAAGATGAGGGAAAGTGCATACAACACTAAACAGTGTAATTATCACAGAAGCCCTCACTTTGCACAGAAATGCAAAGATTTAGCAGTGAGAGGAAATAACAAGACAGATGCATCGCACCAGAACCATCAACATTCTAGGACTTAGATCTGACCTTCTCTAATGGAAAGAATAAGGCTCTGCTGTAGATTACTGTCCTTCGATCTATAAGAACTGGTATTAATTCAAGGAATAAACAATGATCAAAGACTTTAGATAGAAATTTGCCTTGTCAGCATTTTAAGTCAGACTTGACAGTCAAGTGAAACAAATTCCTACTCTCTTGTATTGCTATGAAACATTATCTCAGTTTAGAACTGAGAAAATACTGCCTTAATTTGCAAAAATAACTGAAAATACCCAGCAAACATGGAGTTAGAAATATATACTCTCCTTTTTTTTTTTTTTTTTTTTAATAGAATCAGCACAGGCAATCAGCACAGGGTGGATATTGTTAAGTCATAACATACTTTCCATCCACCCTCGATTTGCTTCAGAAGACAAGGATCTGCCCTTCGCAACAATTAGCTGTTCCTAGTGGGTCAGAGGAGTAAGTTCAATATTTTTTATACTGGAGAAGATCAGAAAGGCTAAATTTCAAGTACTAGAAAAATGTGCAGGAAGTACTTTCAGTCATTCACACAATTCTTGTCTTAGAGAAACAAAAACATGGGTAATTTTGCAAACTAAAGCTGCTCAAAGATTTACAATTATTGACTATAACTTGTAAAATTATCTATAGCAGGAAATAATTAATTTTACCTGTTTCCTCAAAGAGTCATTCATTTCCTTCAAGGTGTCAAATGATGACTTCAGCCTCCTATTTTCTTTAGTTATTTCTCTCAAGGCTTCTGTTAGCTGTTTAACTTCTGCCTCATGCCGCTAGAGAAATATCAAATTTAAAAACATGATTTAAAAGAGACTATTCTAAAAATGCCAAGCTCCATTTTGGTGTTAAAATACTAGGACAGACTTTCAAATACCAAGTTCGTCATTCCGCATGGCCAAATTCGCACATTTAGACAGTAGTGAGAAAAACAAGATCTGTCCTGCATATTATGAAGGATCTATATAGAAACATAGAGCAACACGCATAGACTACAGCTCCTATTCTTTCCAGATTCTACCAAAACCAGACTATGTATATGTATATTTCTCAGAATTCATATGTGGGAAATGTTTGTGAACCAAAATCAACGAAAAAGCTTTTATTTACAGCTCACTCAATTACAAAAAAAAAAAAACATTGTGATCGTGTTTTGAGGTTTTGACTATTTTTTTTTGCTTTGCTCACTCTCAATCACGCAGAGCAAGAAACTAATCCTATGTCTTGTAGACTAACGCTCTGGTTTACAACAGAAGCACATGAATCGTTAACTACAACTTGCATATCCACTGCCATCCTTCTCTTTGCCCTGAAACTTGGTTTAGATTTAAACTTCTCTGGACACCAGTGCAACTCTTTCAGTACCTCAGATTTGATAAAACAGCAAAGTTCTATTTTACTGAAAATATTCCAGCTATATATACATACTAGCTTTCATTTCTCTCCCTCCATGAATTCACTGTTCTTCACTCGGTCACCTACTTGATCTCTACTTTTCCATTTAGAGTCATATCCTCTCTCTCTACATGTGCAAATGACAAAAGTAAAGGACAGTAGAAATTTAAAGGATGCAAGTCCTGAAGAGATCCTCCTCTGCATTTCTGCTTGGAAACTCAGTAGAACCATCTACAGTTCTTCTTTTCCTCAAATGTTGCTCCTCTTCAGTCGACAGGATCAGAAGAGCTGTGGGCAAGACACTCTTGTCTAAAGCACCTACACATATTTGCCTAAGAAGACACAGAATCATAGAATCACTTAGGTTGGAAGATTGAGTCCAACCATTAACCTAATGCTGCCAAGACCAACACTAAACCATGTCCCTAAGTGCTACATCTACACGTCTTTTCATATCTCCAGAGATGGTGACTCCATCACTTCTCTGGGCAGCCTGTTTCAATGCTTGAAAATCCCTTAGGTGAAGAAATTATTCCTAATATCCAATGTAAACCTTCCCTCGTGCAATTTGAGGTTGTTTCCTTTTGTCCTCTCATCTGTACGAAATGACAGATCCCCTTTCCATACCAATAAACACACAGATGCTGCCAACATATAATTGAGTGCATCCTATCTTATGGAATCTTATGGAATGTTTCACTTCTGTTTTCTACAAACACAGTTAACAGCTTTACTTGAAGTTCAAAACCAATTCAGTTGTTAAGCCATAGGGTTGAAGGTGATGCCAGGATGTCTATCCCACCCACTTCCATAATCAAATCAGGTGGTGTCGTCTGTATATTAACCAGCTATACCACTTCACTCCTGCCAGATGTTTGTCTCCCCTGTTCTTAAGTTATCCAATACTAGGAACACAGTCTTGCCAATCTCCCTGTTCATATGCTTAACTGCTTTTGTTACATCTAGGTTTTTTTTGTTACTTCTAGTTTTTATGTAGTTGAAGACTGGCACATTCACCCTCAATTCATTCTGCGTGTTTAGCCCATGCATCCAGTTATCATCCTCTGTTGCTGATACTTCTATTCAAATGCAATACTGTACACTCAGGCCTTGTGAACAGTGTACTTTTTTCAGATCTATCCTCTGGCACCCTTTCCTCCTTTCTAACATGTAGTCTTATCCTCCCTCAACAGCCTGTAGGAAAGGTTTACTTGCACACTTCAAAGAAATTTAATTTCGCAGCTTCTGGTTTTGACAGAAAGTACACATGTTTAAGGATTTCTCTTGGAGACCTCCTGGATAATAACCAAAACTTTTCACAAGATTTGAATTCAATACCAAACACTCTCAAGAACAGTGTTACTAATAAGTACCTCTTACAGCAAAATCCTACCATTTCATTTCTTCCCACACCCCCAAAGTTAGGTTGATCTTTCTCTGAACTTTTTGAGCCTTTGGTTGCTAATGCTCTCTGCAGTAGGTGTTTTGTCATAAGATCTCAATATGTCTTAAAGCCTTCGCAAGGAAATCCACTTCAGCTACAGCTAATGCAAAAACACTCATTTAATGAACATACAATTACAGATAGACCAAAATTTTTTCTCTAATACTGGTCATATAGCTTTTGCTACTTTACAAATAAGTGATCTCTTTTTTCTAACTTGTAACAGTAAAATGTACTAATACATCAGACAACAAAATGCACCATTCTGAAACAGGAGTCATACAAAAATCTGAATAATATTGTTCAGTACTTTCTATATAAATATTTCCCTTAGGGATTTCCAGCACTTTAAATAAATAAGCAGTATTTCCAGCAAACGTGATGGCTTAAGAGAACTACAAACAAGTTATATGGTATGTAGAGCAGTATCTATCATCAAATATATTTTTTCACCTCTTTTATAGCTCCAAATTTTGTGTGAACTTCTTTCTCAACACCTCTTATTTTAGCCAAAGCTGCTTCATGTTTAAAAAGCAATGCTTCTCGTTCTGTTAGACAACGCTCTCGTTTCTGGAGTTGCAGAGCATACTCCTGCTGTGCTGAACTTTCTCTCTGTATCAAGAAAAAAAAATGTTGAAACTACTTTAAAAACCCATGAAGTTGTGACAAATTATACTGCATCTGAATTTTTGGCCCAGAGATGTGCTTAGCTTTTTGTGAAATTACAGTGTTACACAAGAGCTTACTAATACAAAGTATCCTGATGGCCATCTGTGCTCAGTTTCCTCACCTGTTAACCCAAATGACTGATGTGCATTGGGATGGGTTGGCCTCCGAAATACAAAATTCAATTCTACATTGCTGCTCAAGTATAAATCTAGACAATTAAACTTTGGCTTTTGCTTCCAAAATATTTGGATAATAGTATTAACTGTAAGACAGAAGAGAGTCTGATGTGACTGTCTATGCTGAACACTAGATTTATTGTTTCTTCAGCTAGTGGGAAGCATCCCTGAAAAAGTGGTGAGGGATAAAGAGATACAAAATTATTTCTATCTCATATGGTGCAAAAGACAGTCACATCAGGGAATCTAGCAGAAGCTTAGGAACTCTTACAGAGTAAAACCATATAGGAGGTTCTTCTGTCAGTAGGGTAGGCCTGCTGGAGATGGACTGGTGGAATGAATGGAGGGTTTTTGCAGGAGGCTGTGAAGGCAAGTGCTCTGGAATGCATAGAGTCAGAAGAACAGTTTAGATGCTCTCGAGAAGCAACGGCTGTGGGTGCTTCCCTCCATGTCCACCACGAGACAGTAGAAGCACTGTGTTCAAACTCCCTCAAGCTGAATCTACCCACCTACCCATAATCCAAGTCAAAGACCCATTAATGGATCAGTGAATTAATTTAGGGAAATAGGCATATGAAGACATAGGTTTAGAACATAAATAACTGTGATTAGTGTAAAGTAATAGCACTAAGTATTAAAAATTAAAAAAAATAAAATCTCTCATTCAAGTGAATATGAGATGCTTTCACCTTTTTCTTTATTTTATTTTTTCTTTATAAGTAAGTTTTACTATGTATATAATTTTTGATTTATCAAAAGTAAGAATCTTCATAACGTTATTAAAAAAAAAAATTTAGGGTGATTCCAGTTCCTACCTGAAGTTTCTGATGTATTATAAATAATTCATCATAAATTTGACCGATGTGAGGTGGTATTAAGCCTTGGCTATTGCATGCCTGAGCATCAGTTCCCCTCATAATTTTCTTTAACAAACTACTGACAATATTTTGGTCACTATTTTCTTGTGTATTTGCAGCCAAATGAGATGGTAAGGTATGGCCTGTGGACAGCAACAAAAAAATTTTATATTAAAACATTAGTCCTAGCTAAATAATTATACGACTGTTGTATAAAACCAGTGAAAAGGTATTTTAGCAATTCAGAGTAACAAGTATAAAGATGTATCAAAATATGAAAGTAATCTAAAGAATTACGGAGAATTGCTCAAAGCAGTGTTCAACAATTTGTTTGAACTGATCAGGAATCAATGGAGTTTTGTAAGTAAAACTATGCCCTCCACTGCAATACAGAAATCCCAGAAATATATGTATAGGATCTATGCACAGATCAAGTCGTTGTGTCGCCAAAATCTCCTATTATTTTTGTGAGGGCTTCAGGCAAGTGATTTGCTGTTGACTAGACCTTATGCTGACACCTAAATTAGCAGAGGACGACTTAAACTACGGGACACCACATGAGAAACTGTTCGATGTGACAGATTACAGTGTAAGGAGCTGATGAAAGCTGCAGATGGCACAGTGAGGAATGGTTGGATTTCACAAATAGTTGAATGGACAAAGTTCACAGATAACTGAAGGGAAGTACTGGGATCTTTTTGGGGAGAGACATCAGGATAAGAGTACCACATCAGGATAAGATTACCTAGGCAACAGTATGGGAAATACTAATTTGGTACTTTGCTGGTTTTTGGCTGGGATAGAGGTAATTTTCTTCATAGCAGTCAGTGTGGAGCTATAGTTTGGATTTGTGCTGAAACTGTTGATAACTCAGGGATGTTTTAGCTATAGCTGAGCAGGGCTTGCACAGCATCAAGGCCTTTTCTGTCTCTCACCCCACCTCACCAGCGAGAGGACCGAGGGTGCACAAGGAGCTGTGACACAGCCAAGACAGCTGACCCCAACACCATATGGTGTCATGCTCAGCACATAAAGCTGGGGGAAGAAGGAGGGAGGAGGGGACATTCAGTGTGATGGTGTTTGTCTTCCCAAGTCACCATTACATGTGGTGGAGCCTGGCTTTCCTGCAGGTGGCTGAACAAATGCCTGCCTATGGGAAGCGGTGGATGAATTCCTTGTTCTGCTTCGTTGGACTGCGTGGCTTTTGCTCTACCTATTAAATTGTCTCCATTGACAGCTCTACTGATCTGTTCTGCCTGGCTTCTGAGATTCCCTTTAGCCACCTTGGGGTTGGTTGTCTGTCTGTCTCCACTTTTTCACATACACTTTCTAAAAAACACATTAATGTTCTTCTAAACCTAAAAGTCTCCTCAAGAGAGGGCTACACTGATTCACAAACCCCTCTGCTTTAATTTTCAAACATTTTCAGTGAATGAATGCCACCTGCTCCCTGCTACAACATTGTAGCTAGAATTTTCTGGGTTAGCTGAACAAAGGGTAACACTACCCACTGCAAGTTTTTCCATCTGATCAACAGTTGTAGTATTTGTTAATGTAGTTAGCTACTTAAAACAAAATAAAGCAAAACAAACACAAACAAAAATCCAAACCCCAACTTGTTTCTTTATTTATATTATAAAGTCCGCTGGCAACCAGTTTCATAAAAGTTTGATCTCTTTTTAAAAAATTTTATGTTAGTATTGCTTCAAGTATGTCTGGACCTCCTAAAATAAGTCTAAAGGAGTTACTCATACTTACGTGAAAGGTTAAGTCCCCCCACCTTAAAATACATTTTAGTTGATTATTAATTACCTGTTTCCATGTATATAGCTGGATTTTGAATTGCATCAGTTTCAGAGCAAATAATGGACTTTTCTTCTATTTCTAGACCATTTGAATCACAAAAAGAATCTTGCTCATCATCAAGACTAAAAATACAAAAAAAGCAATAATTTAAAATTACTCACTTCCTTTCTAACATGCTACATAACAGCACTGAGAGAAGGCTGTATAAAAAGGCAAATGTTGCTAAATGTACGACTTTGATATTTGACTAATAACAAATAGCAGAGTTAAATCATTTGGATGGAAGGCATTATTAATCACAAGACTCTAACTACAGCAATTAATAGTGTTGCTGACTTAAAAGTAGTAGCAATAACTAGGATTTTTACGCTGTAAGCATATATATACAAAAGGTAAAACCAACACTCTTCTTTCATCACAACCAACCAAATTCCTGGAGAATTAAAAATACATGCCCCCTTTTTAAATTATATTTTTTGTATTTGGCATAAAAAAGCTCTGAGAAGTAATAACTCTGCTTATCAGTCTGAGCTATTTGCTTTCCTTCTCGTTTGTTTTTTATCACCTAGTTCAGTTTTTATCATCCCTATATCCCATCAGCAATTTCAACATGCACAGATCAGATCAGAAAGTTAGACAGTTCTGCTCATCAAAATCAACATCCACATTATCTCATAAGTTACCCACAAACAAGTCTTTACTCAAGAAAACAAGAATCTTAAAACAATTTTTGCACAGTCCAAATGTATCATTTACTCATGGTTTATCTGGATGTTGAGAGGAAATAAATGATAAAGGAGAACTGAAAACACCTCCTACCAATCCCAGTCTTTAAAACTTTTCAGGAAATTAGATCTGATGCTGTTCTCTCTTCCAGTTGCAGTAAATTCTGACCCTAAAGAACAATTTGACAAAGAAATAGCTGTGTTTTCCAGTGAGCTGTCCATGACACCTGTAATACATAAAATTATAACAGTTTTATTTTGCATTTGAGAAGCTGACATTAAGAAATCAACAAGGGCTTATTAGAAGTGCTAGCCATGTAATCATTTAAGTTTAAGAACCAAAACCACCACTTCTGCAGCCTGACAAATTAAGAATTATAACAGCTTAAACTATAGTAAGAATTATTTAGCATTCACACCAGATTTGTCTTTCTGAAGTTTCAGAGCTTGCCTACATACACCAGTTTTTCTGTAACTGAAGTCTGAAAAATACATTGTTTTAGTCTGCTGCCCACATGCACCAGCAACGTGTTTCTCAAGACGCCCAAATACATTCTAAATATTAAACATTTATGTATCTTTAAATTAAAGCTAAATATATGCATTATGAGGTGGACTGCTACCAACTATGTCAACTAGGCCTTAAACAAAAACAAGTTGTTCTAAAATATCCTTTGTGCTCTTTACTCCAATGTTAACATTCCCAGGCTGGCTCCCCCTGATCAAGAATATCTACCCATTTAAAATGAGAAAATATAAAACTACTTTAAATAAATTTAGGAATGATACAGCTCTGGTATATATTTTCCCTGAGAAGCAACAAAGCACCACTGCTTGTTATTACCTTTGTATACTAGGGAGCTTCCACTTTTACATTTGGTATGCAGTGCTCCCAAGAGGCAATCCTACGAGAAAACACAAAACCACTGTAATCTAGTAAGAATTTTCAGGGAAAATGTATGTTACAACTTAGTTGTTTAACAGTTACAACTCCTTGTAACAGAATTCTTACTACAAACTACTAGTTTTGAAAAGGAAGTGGTTTTTTCCTCAATATATAAACATGGCTGTCATACTAATGTAAAGAGGCAAATATGTTCCTTACAGCCTAATAATGAAATATTCATAGTGCTATACATTAAAATATTTGAGCCTAAAATTTGAGCATATAAAGTACAATGAAGATGGTAACATAAAAAAAAGGCATGAAAGTAGAACCAGGTAATCACAGAAAGTGCCATCTACCTTCATATTTGGGCTTTTTATGTCAAAGTGTCCTGCTTTACTTTTTCTTACTGTTTTGTAACTACGTATACTAAAAAAGTGAATGACAGAAATTTTATGCTACAAGCAAAATCAATTAAATGTACATTAGAAAATATTGAAAATATCAGACTCAAGGTAGTTCTCATGATCTTAGTTGTTTCACTGTACCTCTCTGCTGTGTTCTAATCAAGTGATCAACCGCTGTAATTTCTTGTACTTAAATGACCACTTTCTAATGAAATAACACATAAACAAATGTAAGTAACATTTTCTTCCTTGCAAGCATTACACTTTAAAGTCTCAGTGACAGTCTTTTAAAGAAAAGTTTTCAAAATTATTTTCCCTTGAAGCACAGTTCCATAATTCAAGCAGAATATTCCCCAAGAGAAACACAGAACCTAGAGCACCACCAAATGCTACTCAACTCATTAATCCTTCTGCAGAAACTAAAGATACATACAGCCTGATTTTAGCTGCAAAAGAACTCAAATCTTCACATCATATTTGGGACAGTTCCTGACCCTAAAATGGCAAGTCACACTTTCTCAGGAAAAAAAAGGTTTTGCATTCATCTTATGATTCCCAGGACCAACCTGATATCCCTGTACAACTACGTGTCTGGCTCAAACCCAGCTTTCAATCTCTCTCAGTCTGTGGTTGCTCATGAGTATTCTTCCAACATATGACTTTCTTTGCAGCATGAGTTTGAATTTGTTTCAGTGAAAGACAAACAGAATTCAAGCAAAACAAAGAATCATAGAATCAGGTTCCTGGCCAGCAAGTATTTCTTCTATGTATTATCAAAGGCTTTTGAAACACTAGCAGGGGGGAGGAGTCTTTGCTGCTGGATTTTTAAGCAAATCAGTTTCCCAATCCACTGTGCAAAGCCTTAAATGCTTATGTGAGCACAAGGAAACAGAGGAACCACAGTCCACTTCCCTCATTCGTATCAGTGCAAAGAACCTGGCATTCTCTGGTGTAAAATAACATTGCTGTACTTCGGCAAGGGAATGATACCCATCGTAATATTCTGCCTAGTCAATGCAGCAGTCTCTTAGGAACTACAGGTTTGATTCTTCTCTGATTGACTAGATATGGAACGCTTTCCTGCTCTCTAACAGAGCTAATCACTAAGCTTCACCAAAAAAATCCCTAACACTCCTAACACATTCTAAGTAAGGCTGCCAGTTGCTGCGTCTAAAGGAGAGAGAAATTACTTTTCCTATTATATATATTCCATACATGCTTAGCAGACTACTTCTAAGACCATTCACATATGATCTCAGTCAAGTGGCAGGCACCAGAAGGTTTTAGGCAAAAAATAAGCTTTTTGGTAACGCATAAAATTTGGAACTGCAATTTTCGGGGAAATTTCCAGATCAGGCAAGGATGACTCTTCCGCACTCCCACTGTAAGGCAGTCAGAGCACGGGGGTAGGACTAGAAAGAACACATACCTCCCCAAGTCTGTTTACACCCCACTTTTGTCCCGCAGTGCAGGGGAACGCAACACCGCGGTGTTTACAATGAACCCGAGGGAGGGAACAACAGATCCCCCGCTACAGCCCCCTCCTCCAAGCACCGCGAGGGCGCGGCGAGGAGGAACGGATTTCCTGCTCTCCCTTGCCCCAGGCCGCCCAGCCCCGGCCCCGCCGTCTCACCCCCGCGGGTCCCCGCGGGTCCCCCGTTTGTAGGCGCCGGGCGGAGCGGCCAAGGCTGAGGCCGTGCCCGGGTCCCGCTCCCGCCATGGCGGCACCGCCGCGCTCGAACGAACCGCCGCCGCCCGCGCACGCGCAGAGGCGCCCGCCGCCCGCCGGGCAGGACGAGCGGCAGCGGCGGCCCCGGGCGGGAAGGGCAGGGCAGGGCAGGGCAGGGCCGAGCCGGCGGCCCCTCACACGGCTGTGGGTAACGGGCACAGCGCTGGGACAGCGCGCTCTCCTCCCGCTGAGCCAGGCAAAGCGGTTTCGTGGGACCTTTAGGGAATCACAGAATCACTAAAGGCTGGAAAAGACCTCTGATCATCGAGTCGAACGTGTGACCGAACACCACCGCGTCAACGAGACCATGGTACCGACTGACACATCCAGTCTTTCCGTAAACACTTAAGGGAGGAGGACTCCACCACCTCCCTGGGAAGCACATTTCAATGTTTAATCACCCTTTCTATGAGGAATTAGTGTCCAACCTAAGCCTCCCCCCGTGTATCTTAAGACTATGCCCTCTCATCCTGTCACCTCGGAGAAGAGTCCGACCCCCACCTGGCTACAACCTCCCTTCGCGTAGTTGTTGACAGCGATAAGGTCATCCATGAAGAAGTACTACTACCATCTTGTAAAAATAAATAAATACAAATCCAAATACAACTTGAAGCTGAATATACAAGTCACATATTTCCAATTTACAGATCTTAACAACAAATTAGTTACCTTGGGAAAAGAATCCTTGATAGTGCCAGCACTGAACTGTAGAACATCAGTTTAAATAAGCCCCACATTTTATCCATGCATACTCACTACTGAGAGGCAAAGTTTTTCAAGATACTAGTACTTAGAGCCTGCAGTGAGGTCTGAGAAGTTGAAAACAGCTAATAAACACTGAGCAGAGGCAGGAGAGCAGCATCAGAGCAGTAGTAGTGGGTTATACTACAGCATTTCAGGTAAATCCCCAATGTTTAGTAGATGTTTTTTGATACATCAAGTCTTTTAGAAATATTTTTAAGTACAAAAAAATAGTCGGTATACTTCTCTAGAAAAACACTGTTCAATACATTTAATAACTATGCTCTCTTAAATACTGAGTTGATATTGAGAGACTCCAGAGAGCATGAACAAGCATCCACTTGCCCCAGCTTGCATTCTGCACATTGGAACGTCCACTAACTTTCAAAGGATTTCAGTGTGCTGTCCAGCAATTTGCATCTACAATCTGCACATTCAAAAGCGCTTCATGAGAGCAGGAAGCCAAATTATGCAAGTTTGGTTTTTTTTTAAACAAACCAAAGTGAAGACAAGACATTTATTTTAACAAGACTAGGATTTTATTTTTAAAATTTGACACTTAATACAAATATGTCAGGATAACACAAATACACCTGAAATATGCCAGTGCCTGAACTTTATTTAACATGCAAAAAAATCAATTAGAACACATAAAAAAATCCAACTATAACCTGTAATTTTACATTTATACATCAGAAGTGTCCATTTTAAGAAGTTGAAATAATTAGTAAATAACATCTAAGTACTGATTTATACCGCTAAAACATTTGTTTACTCAAAGAAATAATTCTATATTTGCCCACAGTCTGTAATGACAATTCTTGCATTTACTAGCCCTTTAGGAGAACCGAAGGATTCAATCTTTTTCACGACATCCATTCCATCTTTCACAAACCCAAATACAACATGCTTGAAGTCCAAGTGTTCTGCTTTTTTAAGTGTTATGAAGAACTGAGAATTATTTGTATCCCTGCCCTTATTTGCCATGGATAACAATCCAGGACCAGTGTGTTTCACTTCAAAATTCTCATCTTCAAATGCTGTTCCATAAATTGACCGTCCACCTGTTCCATCATGGTTAGTTATATCTCCTCCCTTAAAAAACAAAACAAGAAGGGGCACAGCATTAAGTGACAAGTCCCAAAACACAAACCAACAATTCTATTTCCTTTTTGCTTTTCTGGTTCCCTATTATTTGACTACACATATAAAAGTGATAATGTGTGCTACTTTATCTTTGAAGGAAAGCCTTGGTTCTTATTGAAAGGCTTTTCACTGTACCTGAAGAAAGTTTAGGCAAAGCAGACCAAACTTAGAATATACTAATTTCATGTGATAAAAGCTCACTTTTAGTCACACATACATGGTGCAGATAACCATTTTAAAAGAAAGCCTGCTCTTTATAGGATGTGGAATACCCTGAAACAAGGTTAAACCCTAAAAGAGCTAACGCTGCTTTATCAGAAATGGCTCTTTTGCAAAAACTTGGCACCTAAAGTGCATACTTCAGGCACAGGTAATACCTAATCAAGAGACAGGGCAATATTTTATTCTGGTTACAAGTCATTCATATATTACTGTCTAATTTTGAGTTGAAGGCTGTCTACATCCCTCAGCTTTAGTGATGCAGTGACATCCAGAACATTAGCATAGCGTGTATGGAAGTTGTTTCATTCTGCACATTACAAGTCATTAAAACTCAATGAATTCTTGATGAGAATTCTAGGAAAGGTCTATCTGAGCTATGATCTATCTCCTAAGCCTTCAGCATTTATGAAGAACTTGCTAGTACTACTGAATGCACACCACGGTTTAAAACCAACACTGTTCTGCGTGGGGGTTCAGATGCACTGCAGGCTGATACTCTCAGTTCAAAATTCAAGTATTTTAAGGAACAGGCCACTGCATGACAACCAGATCTAGAAGACTTCTTTTAGATGGAAACCTGAACATCTAAGTACTTGGAATTTCAATTTTCAAGTACATGTTACCTGAAATAATTGTTATGTTTGTTATGGCCAGTCTTCGCGAACGAAGAATCGGGGAAGGTCTTTACACCTTCCAGCCTGCACATTGGATTTTTTAGGTGAGACACAGTGTGCGCGGAACTGAGCCCACCCTTTAATCCTGAGGTTCATCTGCCGGGGCCAAGCGAGCTTGGACAATGGCAGCGAGGTCCTCAGGACGTAGATGGATTGCCTTACAGGGCTAACGAGCTCCATCTGCCTGGGGAGGGGCCCTGACCAGGAATCAAACCCGGGCCTCGGTAGTGACAGTGCCGTGTCCTTAACCACTAGACTAAGTGGACCTTAAACAGTAAGAGAATCCTGGAAGTAAGTGTTCTTAGCAGGTGAGTGTCATGGTTTTGCCAAACCCCCACCCCCAAGGGATGGAAATAGTTTTTCCAGGTAGATTTCCGGAGCAAAGCCAATCAAAAGTTCTAGTAACGCCTCTGCCAATTACATATTTAAGAAAAGGGAAGAGAAGGTTGTTGTGCAGATGAAATTAAGAGCCATGTAGAAGAGGTGGCAGGCCCCAAGTGGGCCAGGGCCCCCTCCTCCTTCGGCCCTGGGCCAGGGGCAGGTGTGGCACTGAAGCCCTGCTTCTCTCCTGTAAGAGTAGAGAAAGAAACCTCTAAAGAAAGACTGCCTGGATGAGAAATGCTGCAGAAGAAATTGCGGCAGAGAGATAATGGACCTCCAAGGTCAAAGGTGGCAACTGGAGAGAAAAAACCATGAAGGGTGTGTGGGGGGGAACTCCTCTCTCCCCCTCTTTCTCCCTTCAGCAAGGAAAAGACTGAAAACTAATATCCCTGACACCTGTGGAAGACTATTGGAGAGCAGAAACGACCCTCTGCAGCTCATGAAGGAGCCCACGCTGAAAGCAGAGTGCATGAAGAAGATGTGACTCCATGGGAAGGCCTAGGATAAAACAGTCCTGCTGAAGACCTGTGGCCCATGGAGAGAGACCTACGCTGGAGCAAGTCAGCCCGGGTAGGCTTGGGATCTCGGTGAGGGATCCGTGCTGATGCAGCTGAATTTGTGACCCTGAGGGACAGCAGAGAATGGAAGAACTGTTGCCCAACGGATGGACCCCTGTCGGAGAGGTCTATCAAGGACTGTTCTCCCATGGGAAGGAACCCCACAGAAAACAGGGGTGGACTCAAAAGCCATTATCCCTTGTAACCTGTGGTGAAGATCCATGGTAGGCAAGTGTCCCCTTGCAGTCCATGAAGACCCTACAGGGCCTGGGTAACCCCCCAGGCTCCAGTCTTAGCCCAGGAGGGGGTAGGCCCAGCCCTGAGGTCAACATAGAAGAGAGACAGAAAGAGAAACAGTTCCAGCTGCGACAAATTGGAGTTGTTGTCCTAGAGATAACAGAAGAAGAACTTTTGAGTTCTTCACGAGCTGCAAAATTATTTAAAAAACCTGTAGCTCCAGAAAAGGAGCAAAGAGACTGCTTCTCCTCCTGAACTGATACGAAGGGGGGAGGGGTACTTCTGTAACTACATAGCACTTTTACCTAATTAGAATTGTTGTAAATATAATTCTTTAGTTTTTATCTTGCTAGTAATAAATCTTATTATTCTCCCCAATCAGCTCTCTTTTATCTGCATAAACCTTCTCTCAACTTATAGCAATTGTGTAGGGAGTGAGAGAAAATTGTCCCAGAGCAAACCCATGACAGTGAGCATACAGGAGCTCCTCTCTGTACGGAGAGAAAAATGAATGGTAGTTTTGGGAACACCTACTTTCCTTGGTGTTCCTGTTCAGCAACAGGCCCCGTGCCCATTTCTAAGAGGATTTCTTTATCTCCATTTTGTATTTCCACACTAACGTGACACTGCTAGGTAACACTGAATCATGAGGAGCTGGCAGACATGGGTAAGCATCAGCTTAGGGAAGCATGTGCTGCTCGCACCATTTCTCATCTTGTAGGGAAAGGGCGGATAAGAGTACCCTGCACAGCGGAGCCATGCTGCCAACAAGAATGTGCTATCCTGTAAAAGTGATTTTTTGAAGTGCCATCTTTAGTGGAAACGCATCTCATTCTCTCAAAGAAGAGTCTTCCTGCTATGCTTACCTGACACACAAAGTCGGTGACTATTCTGTGAAAGCGGGAGTTCTTGAATCCAAATCCTTTCTCTCCAGTGCACAGGGCTCTGAAGTTTTCAGCAGTTCTTGGGACAATATTT